CTGAGGGAGCAATCCCCCAGTCTGTGCAACTGTTGCTCAGTGCCAGAGGCCGAACGAGGAACTCCTCCTGCTCTGCTCTGACAGGTCCATACTATTTTCTGTGTGGTTCGGCAGCCTATAGAACATTTCCCCAGAACGCGAAAGGTTCGTGTGCCCTCATAAAGCTAGTCCCCGCATCCTATGTAGTGATGGATCATGAAGAGTTGATGGTCCACAAGAAGGTAAGGATGGCAGGGAGAGTTTGCAGAGAGCTGTTCTCTGAGGGCGACCAGACATGGGCTTGGTTCCCCTCATGGACAGGATGGGGAATAGAACTTATGAAGCGCCTGAACAATTTTTCTGTCATCGTGGATAGTATGTTTAACGAGACCGTAGAGGCTGTCAGAGAAATTGCCCAAGAACAACGGCAGATGGGAATTTTAGTGCTTCAGGAGAAGATGGCCCTGGATTACCTTTTAGCCGCCAAAGGGGGGTTCTGTGAGTTCATCGGAGAGGATTGTTGTACTTGGATAGAAGACACCGATGACAAGGTCCAGGCCCATATGGACAAAGTTAGTGAACTACAGGGAAAAAGCTAGAGCTATAGCTAGTGAGGGTTGGAATCCGTTCAAGGGTTTTGGGAGGATTGGGAGATTTCCTGTTCTCCATCGGATCTTGGTTGAAGGAAGTGGGAGTGTATGTCCTGATGCTTCTCTTTTTCATCTGCCTTTTATATGCCGCGGTGAGATGTTCCTGTTGCCTCATCGACCGTGTAAGCCAAGCTCGGGCAGACGACCACATCTCCATGCCCGCTCCTGGGATTCCACTCCAACCACTGATCGGAGGAAGACCTCACCAACCAACCACCTTCTCTACAGATTACGTCCTGGCTTCCCTCTAATTTATCTCTCTGAAGACCACATTCTCCAAGACCTTCAAGCAAGCTTCAAGCCTCATCATGGTTTGTGTCTGCGATTTGGAAAACTGTCTGGGTCGAGACCAGCCTTGTGTGGCCCGTCTGCAGGGGCAATTTGAGAATCTATTGCTGGATCTCCCCAGAACCACAGTGGGATCACAAGCCTTATTCATACCACAAGTCTGTTTGTGGTTTTTTGCAAGAGCCTTCCTGTAGTGAAGGTTCCAACGCTCTTGAGGATCATTGCTTCAATCAAGCCTGTTTGCGTCGAGTCTGCGTCGGGTCTTGTTGTTTCAGGTACCTCGTGGAGCTTTATTCTCAGGGACAACTACAGGAACTCTTTGAGGTTTGAGACTACACCCATCAAGCTGAAGAAGATCAAGAAGGGACACGAGGAGAAATATGATAAATCAGGAGGGAATGTCATGGAAATTTTGTATTGTTGGTCGAACTTTAAATGTGTCATATATGAGTGTTATTCATATGTCTCTCGTGTGGCTTAATTAAAGCTCTGAAGGCTGCAATTGGGCCATGCGCATGTACAATGTATGTATTACAGTACTCAGCTTGGTAATGGATGAGATGGCAGATCTGCGCTTATAGATCGGCGTGTATACCACCACGGCATTCGATGCGAATGTCGCTGGCAGTAGACCGTGGGCCTGTATCCACATATCAGCAGCATAGTACCAACCACATGGGCTTCATAACGCAGGGCGCCAAGCGGTGTGAACTCCACGTGTAGGCTTATGCATATCTTACAACCCATTACCCAACTTGAAACTGTATCTTGGATGGATGTGTTTTAATAAAGATCGTATCGGGCCCATCCAGGTACAGACTGGTGTTTAGCTTAGGGAATACTTGTACAAAGGATTTGCATGCCAATGGGAGCTAGTAGGATAGGAAATATGACCTCAGATGGCTCATGGGGGGGAAGGGGAGGAAGTCTGCTGACCTCAGATGGCTCATGGGGGGGGGAAGGGGAGGAAGTCTGCTGACCCTCAGAAGGCTCATGGGGGAGGACCAGTGATAGATAATAGGAAAGGCTATGCTCCAATCGGAATGTACATCCTGTGTATAGGCAACTCCCCATTGCATTGTTCGGTGGGAGGGGATTGACTTTATTCATGTGGGGGGCATGTGTGTATTTTTAATAAAACCAGGGGCTGAGTCTGAAACCAGCCCTTATGTGATTTCAACCATCATCCTGAGAGTGTCGTTTGATCATTCTAGGGTAACGGAGCTCCATCATCCCCACATTTCAACAGAAGCTAAAAGTAGTTGGATGGGCAGGAATCGTGTAGTTTAGCTACAGTCGTGGTAAGCGAGATTCACACAGCTTTATGGGGGATTTCTGCGCATCCAACTGCGAGTACTCACGATAAGGAGAAATTCGTTAAAGCGAATTTCCAAGACACCAGAGAGAGATATCATATTACCCCTGTACAAGTCATTAGTAACACCTCATCTGGAATATGCAGTTCAGTTTGGGGCACCAATTCACAAAAAGAACATTGGGGAGCTGGAGAAAGTACAGAGAAGGGCAACTAAACTGGTACGAGGCATGGAGGAGCTCAGCTATGAGGAAAGATTAGAGGAAGTGAATTTATTCTCTCTTGAGAAGAGGAGATTAAGGGGGATATGATCAACATGTATAAATACATCAATGGTTCATATAGTGAACTCGTTGTAGAGCTATTCACCCTGAAGTCATCACAGAGGACAAGGGAGCACTCTTTACGTCTGGAGGAAAAGAAATATAATCTCCAAACATGGAAAGGTTTCTTCACAGTAAAAGCTGTGGAATAGACTCCCTCAAGAGTTGGTTCTGGCCAGTTCAGTGGATTGCTTTAGAATAGGCCTGTATTCTTTCTTGGATGCACGGAATATAACTGGTTACTAACATTTATAGGTAAAGTTGATCCAGGGAGTGTCCGATTGTCTCTCGGGGGATCAGGAAGAAATTTTTTCCCCTTCAGGAGCAAATTGGATCTTTCTTTGCTGGGTTTTTTGTCTTCCTCTGGATCAACTGTGGGTGTAATATTATAACTTTGTGTTTTTTTTTTTTTTTTATAGTTGAACTGGATGGACTTTTGTCTTTTTTCAGCCAGACTAAACTCTGTAACTATGTATCTATATCATTATTTCTTTGGATCATTTACTATGACAATATCACATACAATCCTTTCATATCATACCATCGTATCATACCATATCATAAAATAATTTCAAATCATTTCATACCGTCTTTTTATATCATATCATACCATCATTTCCTTTATACCATAATTTTATGTTATACCATTACATACACTCATTTTCTATCATATCATCATACCATTTTATATCCTCTTTTCATTTGATATCATCATCTGCTATTATGCTCTACCATACCAACATTTGCTATCATACCATCATGTTTTATTATACCATAATTTCATATCATATTACATAATATTATTATTTAGTATACCATATCACACCACACCATATCATAAAAAAATGCATATCATATCATACTGTCATTTTATATCAAACCATATCATACCATCCTTTCATATTGTACCATATCATGCCATCATTTCCTATCATACCATCATTTCATATACTACCATTATTTCATTTCATACCATCATTTAATTTCATATCATACCATATTATATTATGATTGAATATCGCACCATATCATACCATCAAGAAGTTCACAAGATGGGGGTACTTGCCCAGCATCAAAACTCTCCTCCTTTCTCAGCTCTGTCTTGGGATCGATCAGGGTGGAGTTAAAAAAAACTGGAAACCTAGAAGCGAATAGCATAAACAATACAATTTGTAATAATATTAAAATGAATGGAAAGATAATTAATTTGAAAAAAGAATTAGTATGAAAAAAAAAGTATTAACATTAAAGAGAAAAAAAGCATTAGTATGAGTATGGAGAAAAGCATTAGTATTATTGTGAGAAAAGCAATAAAGGCAAGCCAAAATATGGTTATCAGCAGGACAAAAATATTAGTAATAATGGAAAAAAAACATTTCTAATGAAAGAAATAAACAGTATTATAAAGGTAAAACATTACTATTAGTTGGAGAGAATGTATTAGTAAGAAAAAACACAAATATAATTGAGAAAAAAACTTTAATATGAGTTGATGAGTAGAGAAAAAATCTTAGTATTAATGGGGTAAAAAATGTCTGTCAAAGGAATAAAACAGCACTATTAAGAATAAGTATTAGCATTAGGTGGGGAAAAATGTTCAACAATGGGTAAAAAACACCTTTAATTTTGAAAAGATAGCATTATTGAAAAAAAAAAAATTTATTTTAGTGGGTGAATTTGTATTACAGAGAAACCACATAAGTAAAAATGGGAAAAAAACATTGCTATTAATAGGTGGGATAATACAGTATTAGTATTAATAGGAAAAAACATATCATACATACCATATCATAATCTCATTTCATATCATACCATCAATTCATATGATACCATAATTTGCTGTCATGCCAGATCATACCATCATCTGCTATTATATCATCATTTCAAATCATACCACATTCAAACTGTCATATCATATCATTTCATATAAAAAGAAATTCACACCATAATATCCTATTATACCATTATTTCATATAAAGAAATATCATACCATCATTTCATATCATATCATCATGTCATATGCTACAAAATAATAACCTTATTTCAAATCATACCATATTGTACCAAAATATTCTATCATACTATTATTTCTAGAGATGAGCGAAGTATTCAAAAATTCGATTCGGCTGATTCGGCGAATTCGAGGAATAAATTCGATTCGATGCGAATATATTCGCTGCGAATTTAACTTATAAAAAGGGTGTTTCTAGGCTTCAGAGAGCCTTTATATTAGTGCAGAACACTGTACCCTTAATTTAAATGCCCTTGGAGTCTGCTGGGGAAGAGAAATAATACTGTCAGTCAGTATGACATGCAGATGAGTGCCGTCGATCTTAGAATCACCGCACACTTCACTCATTTGGGCAGTCACGGGGCCAAAACCAGAGTGTGGAGCCACAGTGTGGCGGTGCAGGCAGCAGCAATGGGAGGCCATACAGCACCCTATGACAAAATGGAACCCACCAGCAGTTGAAAGTGGCACATGGCACAGTGTTGCGATGGAGACAGCAGCAATGGGAGGCCGTACAGGGACCCATGAGACACTCTGGACCTGGCAGCAGCAAGAGGAGGCGGTACGGGGGCCCATGGCAGATTACGGGCCTGGCAGCAGCAATGGGAGGCCCGTAATCTGCCAGCACCCTATGACAAAATGGAACCCACCTGCAGTGTGAGGAGACCTGAAAGTGGCACATGGCAGAGTGTGGAGATGGAGACAGCAGCAATGGGAGGCCGTACAGGGACCCATGACAGATTACGGGTGTCTGGCAGCAGCATGAGGAGGCGGTACAGGGGCCCATGGCAGATTACGGGCCTGGCAGCAGCAATGGGAGGCCCGTAATCTGCCAGCACCCTATGACAAAATGGAACCCACCAGCAGTGTTAGGAGACCTGAAAGTGGCACATGGCACAGTGTGGCGATGGAGACAGCAGCAATGGGAGGCCGTACAGGGACCCATGAGACACTCTGGACCTGGCAGCAGCAAGAGGAGGCATTACAGGGGCCCATGGCAGAGTGGCGAAGCGTAAGCAGCTTAAATTGAAGGCCATACAGAGGCCTATGTTAAAAATAATAACATGTTTGGGGCATGATTCATGGCGGATTTAGTCAGTTGTGTCAGGAACTGGTGGTTTGAAATCCAGACTAATCCACGCCTGATTCATTTTCACAAACGTGAGTCTCTCCACACTTTGGGTGGACAGTCGTGTCCTCCGCGGAGTTACAATACCTCCTGCCGCACTAAACACGCGCTCCGATGCCACGCTACTGGCCGGGCATGACAGCCTTTCAAGGGCAAATTCAGCTAGTTGGGGCCAAAGGTCAAGTTTCGTTGCCCAGTAGTCAAGGGGATTGTCTACCTCGGTTGGCAGGGTGCTGTCCAAGTAGGCCCAAGCCTGTTGTTTGAGGTCCTGCTCCAGGTCCACCTGATGCTGCTGCTGCTGCGGCTGGTTAGTAGTTTCCTCACTGCGCTGGTGAAGAAAGCTACTCATCATCGACTGCAGACTGAGGCAGCCGCTGCTGGTGGAGCTGCCACTGCTCCTACCACCCCACCCCTCCCCTGCTGCCATGGCAGCGGAACGCGAGCGCACAGGGCCCACAGTGTCTGAGGATGGACGTTGGCGCAGAAAGGCAGAGACCAACTGACTACATAGGTGGTTTTTATAGTACGTTATTTTGGCCTCCCCCTCTCAGCAGGTGTGAAAAAGGCCACCATTTTTGAACGGTAGCGAGGGTCCAACAAGGTGGACAGCCAAAAGTCATCCCTCTGTCTGATGGTTATTATTCGGCTGTCGCTACGCAAGCAAGCGAGCATGCTATAGGCCATTTGTGCCAAGGAATGCGAGGGACTCCCTGCCTCCATCTCCACAGCATACTGCCACGGTGCGTCTGGGTCCTCTGTCTCCTCCTCTACCAGATGCTCCTGCTCCTCTCAGCACTCTGTCCGCTGAGTGGAAAAAACCACCCATTTCACTCAATAATTCCTGAGCACCAATGTCCTCCTCTACCTCCTCCTCTTCTTCCTGTCCTGCCCCCACAGGGGTCATGTGGCATTGAGATCTGTGCGCCACGTCTACCGCACCCTGACCAGCCATTGTTAACAGCATTTGTTCCAGGACGTGCAACAGAGGATTGACGTCGTTCATCCCATAGTCCTGCCGACTCACGAATAGCGTGGCCTCCTCAAAGGGCCTGAGCAAGCGGCAGGTGTCACGCATGAGCTGCCAATGGCTGACATCTAAGTTACACAGGGAGTACCTTTATCCGCTTGTAACATCAGGAAATCGGTGATGGCCTTTCGCTGTTCGTAAAGGCGGTTAACATATGTAGGGTTGAATTCCACCTTGTTGCAACGTCACAGCATGAGGAGTCGGTACGGGGGCCCATGGCAGATTACGGGCTGGCAGCAGCAATGGGAGGCCCGTAATCTGCCAGCACCCTATGACAAAATGGAACCCACCAGCAGTGTGAGGAGACCTGAAAGTGGCACATGACACAGTGTGGCGATGGAGACAGCAGCAATAGGAGGCCGTACAGGGACCCATGAGACACTCTGGACCTGGCAGCAGCATGAGGAGGCGGTACAGGGGCCCATGGCAGATTACGGGGCCTGGCAGCAGCAATGGGAGGCCCGTAATCTGCCAGCACCTATGACAAAATGGAACCCACCAGCAGTGTGAGGAGACCTGAAAGTGGCACATGACACAGTGTGGCGATGGAGACAGCCGCAATGGGAGGCCGTACAGATACCCATGACAGATTACGGGCCTGGCAGCAGCATGAGGAGGCGGTACAGGGGCCCATGGCAGATTACGGGCCTGGTGCAGCAATGGAAGGCCCGTAATCTGCCAGCACCCTTTGACAAAATGGAACCCACCAGCAGTGTGAGGAGGAGACCTGAAAGTGGCACATGACACAGTGTGGCGATGGAGACAGCAGCAATAGGAGGCCGTACAGGGACCCATGAGACACTCTGGACCTGGCAGCAGCATGAGGAGGAGGCGGTACGGGGGCCCCATGGCAGATTACGGGCCTGGCAGCAGCAATGGGAGGCCCGTAATCTGACAGCACCCTATGACAAAATGGAACCCACCAGCAGTGTGAGGAGATCTGAAAGTGGCACATGGCAGAGTGTGTGCGATGGAGACAGCAGCAATGGGAGGCCGTACAGGGACCCATGACAGATTACGGGCCTGGCAGCAGCATGATGAGAGGCGGTACAGGGGGCCCATGGCAGATTACGGGCCTGGCAGCAGCAATGGGAGGCCCGTAATCTGCCAGCACCCTATGACAAAATGGAACCCACCAGCAGTGTGAGGAGACCTGAAAGTGGCACATGGCAGAGTGTGGCGATGGAGACATGGGCCCCCTGGCCACGCTTGACTTTCTGGCCACATAGTCGACATACGGCTACGTTTACTTCCTCGGGCGGCTTGACGAAAAATTGCCACACGGCCGAGTAGGAAACTTTGCCCCCGCTACTCCTCACTGGCTGACTGCTACTAATCCTCCGTGCACACCGGCACCACTACTGGCCGTGGTGGTAGGCTGCAGTGGAGCTGGTGCTCTACTCCGTGGCCGTTTGCCTCCACTGACACTGCTGCGACCCTGCTGCCTCCTGGGCAACCCACCGACTGTTTTGCTCGCTGCCAAGCTGGCACCCTCTTCTCCTGATGATGCGGAAGCAATAGCCTGATGACGACGAGGCTGCCAAGTGCGATCAGCCTCATCATCATCAATTAGGGTCTCCGCCTCACTACTAGCCCCCTCGGCTGCGTGTGGGTCAGGAGACAGACCTGTCTCTAGACCGGCTACCGAGCCACTCTCCTTGCCAGTACTTCTTTGCCTGGCTGCTGAAGAGGCGGATGTATCTCCCCGTTCCTGACCGCCCTCTGTTAGCTCTTCCTCACTGTACAGTGGGGCTGAGCCCACAGCATGCGATACTTCGCTTGGTGAGGGAACACCAAAGGACAGGGGCAGGTAGAGGACACGTGATTTCAGTGGGCTTGCTCCCGGGCCATGCCAACTAACGGTTGTGTCTGACGTACCCACCGAACCGTTGGCCCTAGGTGTCAGAGGTGACCTGGGAAGAGGAAGACGACCAAGCCAACCAATCGATGACTGCAGGGTTGTCGGTGGAGACACGACCGCTGGATGACACCGGGAGCACTGGCCTCTGGCTGCGACTAGTGCTGCCTCGACCCCTTCCTCTGCTGCCACGTCTGCTCGCTCACTAAAACATGGCCTCCTCTGACACTCCTCTGCATGTTGTCTGACATACTCTTTAATTCAACGATTCTGTGTCCCTGAGTAACGATTCTGTGTCCCTGAGTACAGTTCTGTGTCTGTCCCTGAGTAACAATTCTGTGTCCCTGAGTAACAACAATTCTGTGTCCCTGAGTAACAATTCTGTGTCCCTGAGTAACAATTCTGTGTCCCTGAGTAACAATTCTGTGTCCCTCAGTAACAATTCTGTGTCCCTCAGTAACAATTCTGTGTCTGTCCCTGAGTAACAATTCTGTGTCCCTGAGTAACAATTCTGTGTCCCTGAGTAACAATTCTGTGTCCCTGAGTAACAATTCTGTGTCCCTCAGTAACAATTCTGTGTCCCTCAGTAACAAATTCTGTGTCCCCTGAGTAACAATTCTGTGTCCCTCAGTAACAATTCTGTGTCCCTCAGTAACAATTCTGTGTCCCTCAGTAACAATTCTGTGTCCCCCTGAGTAACAATTCTGTGTCCCTGAGTAACAATTCTGTGTCCCTCAGTAACAATTCTGTGTCCCTCAGTAACAATTCTGTGTCCCTGAGTAACAATTCTGTGTCTCCCTCAGTAACAATTCTGTGTCCCTCAGTGAGTAACAATTCTGTGTCTGTCCCTGAGTAACAATTCTGTGTCCCTGAGTAACAATTCTGTGTCCCTGAGTAACAATTCTGTGTCCCCCTGAGTAACAATTCTGTGTCCCTCAGTAACAATTCTGTGTCCCTGAGTAACAATTCTGTGTCTGTCCCTCAGTAACAATTCTGTGTCCCTGAGTAACAATTCTGTGTCCCTCAGTAACAATTCTGTGTCCCTCAGTAACAATTCTGTGTCCCCTCAGTAACAATTCTGTGTCCCTGAGTAACAATTCTGTGTCCCTCAGTAACAATTCTGTGTCCCTCAGTAACAATTCTGTGTCTGTCCCTGAGTAACAATTCTGTGTCCCTCAGTAACAATTTCTGTGTCCCTCAGTAACAATTCTGTGTCTGTCCCTGAGTAACAATTCTGTGTCCCCCTGAGTAACAGTTCTGTGTCCCTGAGTAAACAATTCTGTGTCCCTCAGTAACAATTCTGTGTCCCTCAGTAACAATTCTGTGTCCCTCAGTAACAATTCTGTGTCCCTCAGTAACAATTCTGTGTCTGTCCCTGAGTAACAATTCTGTGTCCCTGAGTAACAATTCTGTGTCCCTGAGTAACAATTCTGTGTCCCTCAGTAACAATTTCTGTGTCCCTGAGTAACAATTCTGTGTCCTGAGTAACAATTCTGTGTCCCTCTAGTAACAGTTCTGTGTCCCTGAGTAACAATTCTGTGTCCCTGAGTAACAATTCTGTGTCCCTCAGTAACAATTCTGTGTCCCTCAGTAACAATTCTGTGTGTCCCTCAGTAACATTCTGTGTCTGTCCCCCTGAGTAACAATTCTGTGTCCTTGAGTAACAATTCTGTGTCCCTCAGTAACAATTCTGTGTCCCTCAGTAACAATTCTGTGTCCCTCAGTAACAATTCTGTGTCCCTCAGTAACAATTCTGTGTCCCTCAGTAACAATTCTGTGTCTGTCCCTGAGTAACAATTCTGTGTCCCTGAGTAACAATTCTGTGTCCCTGAGTAACAATTCTGTGTCCCTGAGTAACAATTCTGTGTCCCTGAGTAACAACTCTGTGTCCCTCCGTAACAATTCTGTGTCTGTCCCTGAGTAACAATTCTGTGTCCCTGAGTAACAATTCTGTGTCCCTCAGTAACAATTCTGTGTCTTCAGTAACAACAATTCTGTGTCTGTCCCTGAGTAACAATTCTGTGTCCCTGAGTAACAGTTCTGTGTCCCTGAGTAACAAATTCTGTGTCCCTGAGTAACAGTTCTGTGTCCCTGAGTAACAATTCTGTGTCCCTGATTAACAGTTCTGTGTCCCTGAGTAACAATTCTGTGTCCCTGAGTAACAGTTCTGTGTCTCTGAGTAACAATTCTGTGTCCCTGAGTAACAGTTCTGTGTCCTCAGTAACAATTCTGTGTCCCTGTCCCTGAGTAACAATTCTGTGTCCCTCAGTAACAATTCTGTGTCCCTCAGTAACAATTCTGTGTCCCTCAGTAACAATTCTGTGTCTGTCCCTGAGTAACAATTCTGTGTCCCTGAGTAACAGTTCTGTGTCCCTGAGTAACAGTTCTGTGTCCCTGAGTAACAGTTCTGTGTCCCTGAGTAACAATTCTGTGTCCCTGAGTAACAATCTGTGTCCCTCCCTCAGTAACAATTCTGTGTCCCTCAGTAACAATTCTGTGTCTGTCCCTGAGTAACAATTCTGTGTCTGTCCCTGAGTAACAGTTCTGTGTCCCTGAGTAACAATTCTGTGTCTGTGTCCCTGAGTAACAGTTTCTGTGTCCCTGAGTAACAATTCTGTGTCCCTGAGTAACAATTCTGTGTCCCTCAGTAACAATTCTGTGTCTGTCCCTGAGTAACAATTCTGTGTCCCTGAGTAACAATTCTGTGTCCCTGAGTAACAATTCTGTGTCCCTGAGTAACAATTCTGTGTCCCTGAGTAACAATTCTGTGTCCCTGAGTAACAATTCTGTGTCCCTCAGTAACAATTCTGTGTCCCTCAGTAACAATTCTGTGTCCCCTCAGTAACAATTCTGTGTCCCCTCTGTGTAGTAACAATTCTGTGTCCCTGAGTGTAACAATTCTGTGTCCCTGAGTAACAATTCTGTGTCCCTGAGTAACAGTTCTGTGTCCCTGAGTAACAATTCTGTGTCCCTGAGTAACAATTCTGTGTCCCTGAGTAACAATTCTGTGTCCCTGAGTAACAATTCTGTGTCCCTGAGTAACAATTCTGTGTCCCTCAGTAACAATTCTGTGTCCCTCAGTAACAATTCTGTGTCCCTGTCCCTCAGTAACAATTCTGTGTCCCCTGAGTAACAATTCTGTGTCCCTGAGTAACAATTCTGTGTCCCTCAGTAACAATTCTGTGTCTGTCCCTGAGTAACAATTCTGTGTCCCTCAGTAACAATTCTGTGTCCCTGAGTAACAATTCTGTGTCTGTCCCTGAGTAACAATTCTGTGTCCCTGAGTAACAATTCTGTGTCCCTCAGTAACAATTCTGTGTCCCTGAGTAACAATTCTGTGTCCCTGAGTAACAATTGTGTCCCTCAGTAACAATTCTGTGTCCCTCAGTAACAATTCTGTGTCCCTCTAGTAACAATTCTGTGTCTGTCCCTCAGTAACAATTCTGTGTCCCTGAGTAACAATTCTGTGTCCCTGAGTAACAATTCTGTGTCCCTGAGTAACAATTCAATTCTGTGTCCCTGAGTAACAATTCTGTGTCCCTGAGTAACAATTCTGTGTCCCTCAGTAACAATTCTGTGTCCCTCAGTAACAATTCTGTGTGTCCTCAGTAACAATTCTGTGTCTGTCCTGTGTCCCTGAGTAACAATTCTGTGTCCCTGAGTAACAATTCTGTGTCCCTGAGTAGTAACAATTCTGTGTCCCTGAGTAACAATTCTGTGTCCCTGAGTAACAATTCTGTGTCCCTGAGTAACAATTCTGTGTCCCTGAGTAACAATTCTGTGTCCCTGAGTAACAATTCTGTGTCCCTGAGTAACAATTCTGTGTCCCTCCCTGAGTAACAATTCTGTGTCCCTGAGTAACAATTCTGTGTCCCTCAGTAACAATTCTGTGTCCCTCAGTAACAATTCTGTGTCCCTCAGTAACAATTCTGTGTGTCCCTCAGTAACAATTCTGTGTCCCTGAGT